AGGTGCTGGCGATGGCGGAGCCACGAAGCGGAGAGATTCGCGAACAGGGGGGCGGAAGAGTGATAGGAGAGGCTGGAAGGACGCGCGAAGGAGGAGAAGTAACGGGCAGCTGCCGCGGAAGTTGCGGCGGAATTGGCGGCGGAGGTGGCCATGGGGAATGGGGGCGCGGCGGAGGCGCAAGCAGGTGCGCGGATGAGCGCGGAAGCTGCAGCAACGGAGGTCATGATTGGCGCAAATTGCTCGCCTATGCCTACACAGCGAGACCAAGTTGTGTGAGAAGCTTTCGGAATTCGACGGCCGACGAGAGCAGACGACCGGAGGACGCGCGGAGATAGCTTCGTAATGAAGAACGCCAGCACGACTCGTTGTCGAAGCGCACAGAAGTCGATCTTATTGGAAAGGACCTCGATTCTCGATGTCAGGGCTTGCGACTCGCACACTCTGTCCTCCAGCTCCCAAAAGTAAGTGAAGACTTCTCGAAGAATCCGCCCGATATATTTGCTGACGCGTGGGATTCAGAGAGAGATCAGGCAATGATGCGGCTCGGACGGAGAGAGGGAGCAGAGCACGCCAGCCAGCCAGCCGACCTTCTGGGAACTACTACACCTTTCCTGCGATAATTCCACACCCCCTATCTTCACGCCCTGGGGTACCTACCCTCGAAAAATAAGATTTCGGAGGTAGTTAGAAACGATCACGGGAGTTTCGAGGGTAGTAAGACACGACCTCAATGCGAGTTTAACACTCCAACATATGGCACTGGGAATTTTTCCCGCTCAATATGATTACAATTCTGAGTTTCGAATGGGCAGAACCTGGCGGTTCTTTACTGATAGACCCGTGGTGTCAGGGTGTCTGTCTCGTCGATCCTCAAGCCGTATAGGGTGTCTGGCAAAAACGAGGGTAGGGGGTGTGGAAATACCGGAGGACATGTGTAGTAATTAGACACGTCGACACGCTGTGGGTGATAGGGCTAGTCTAACAGTTGCAAGTACGGTGTAGCGAGGTTTGGTGTGGTTCAACGCGCTTGTTACGAAATGGAACCATCCAGGAAATCGGGACGGTTGCGTGATAGAAGAGGAAGTGGTAACAGCTCTTGGCGACTTCAGTATTCTAATTCGTTCATAAACACAAAGCGAGCGGAGGAAGCTTGTGTTCGTGATTACATACGTCATTTGCGAAGTCCGCCGTGCCAGGTGCATGAAGCACACCCCGCTCCCTGATGAAACCTTGGCGGTGGGAAACGCCACGTCTGACCGATCAATAGAGGGACGTTTAGCTACGCCACGTGGCCCCGTTTCAGCCAGGTATATTTACTAGTATTATTATCGAACATCCACGAACGTACAACCAATATCGCGTTTCAGCCAGGTATATTTACTACTAACGCTGAACGCTACAGGTTTAACTATCAGTAGTATTATCTTTACAAAGAAAAGCATCGCACAAGAGGAGAGGAACGGGAAAGAAAGACACCAGAAACAACTCAAACGCAACACCCATAAAAAGCCCCATAAAAATACTCTATAAAGAAAAAACCCAACCAGGATCCCCTACCAGACGTCCCATCTCGCACCCCATTCCCCCTCGCCCCCCCCCCCCCCCCCCCCCCCCCCCCCCCCCCCCCAAGTCACATCTGCACATCCACCATGTAGGGGGCCTCCACCCAAAGAGGCCCGCCCTCCACCTCGACATCGTCCCTCTCCCGATCCACCAAGTCCACATTCAACCCCCCCATGGAAGACGCCGCCCGAAGCAGGATGACACGAGCTTGCGCCCGTTGTAACGCCACTCCGATGAGCGCCTTCAGAGACCCCAAAAGGTAAGCCGAGAACGAAGTGTCATCCTCCCGACAAGCCCCCCGTGACACAGCTAGCCCCACGTGCGCGTCCCCCTGCTGTCGAAGCCACCGCCGGAAGCGACCGCCGAGACACCCCCACGTCTCCACTATCAAAGGGGTGAACTGCACGCCTCGGTTCCGTGCAAGAAGAGGCGCGTAATCCCCCGTTTTGCGACGCTCCCACTCCTTTGCCGCCACGCCTATAGACCGCCCGCACTGCCCTAGCAGAGATGGAGACAGTGATAGCGGGTCCGCGACACTAATCTCTAAAGCATGAGCCTCCCCAGCCATTGGTCGTCGCACCGCTACGTCAACCCGCTTCCCCGGCAGCACCGCACTATCCTCCATCGTCACCACCCCCCCTGACGCCTTAGCGATCTTTGCCACCGCAAACTTCACCTCATCATGCACCCGAGATGGACCGTGTTGGTGCTTGCATCTCAGCGCATGATGCGGGTCTGCTGGGTCATCATACGCTGCGCCACAAACACACTTCCCCGCCACTTGCAGCTGCTGGATTGGGAGACCAAGCCGTATAGCAGCAGCAATGCCCCACTCCGCTGCAGTGAATGTGAGATCTGAATGAGCCGGAACTGCCGAAACCCATGCACCAGCCCCCGGGCCCTGAAGGGATGTGAAACGGGCTAGGGTGGCATCGTCACGAGCCAAGCGGCGGAGTGCCTGGAGCTCCTCAACAGCCAACTGCCGCTGCCGCGCCTGGAAAAGCCGAAGAGGAGGGGCCGCCACACACAGGGGTAAGTCCGGCAGCTCCTGGCGTATAGTCGCGGGCAACTGCTCAATGGCCTTGGCAAACCACGGGTCAAGAAGCTCCGCCCCCGCCGAAGTGGTGAGGTACTCTGCGAACATCGCCTCCTCGCCCGCCACCCCCAAATGTGCAATATCCCGTGCGGCCTGCGCCCACCCACAAACATAGGAGAGCGGACTCAAAGAGGCCGCCGCCCGGATCCCAAACCCTCCGAGGCGCACAGGGAGATGCAGCTGCATGCGTGCGCGCCTAGACCTGCCGGGATCCTGCTCCCAAGTGCCAGGGGGGAAAAGCTGCTCAAAGCAATCCTCCAGACAGCTGTCCCACTCTCTAAAGGCCTCCACCACCTCCGGCCGCGGCGGCATAGTCCGGGCCAGGTACATCGGCCGTGCTGAAACTGCAATAGCGAGGAGATGCGAGGCCATCTGGGGGTGGTCGAGCAGGGGGAGCCACGGCAATGGCGCCTGCAACTCGCGAAGCCGCTTCCGTAATCGGGCCCCCTCCCAATCCTCCTCCCCAATAGGCACGCCCACCACAATAAGACCCTCCTCCTCCCGCTGCATCCCCAAAGGCAATGCCCGCTCCATATCCCCACCTCCACGCTCCCAAAACCTGCACTTGTGCGCCTGCACTTCCAGCCCCACCCACTCCAACCTCTCTCGCAGCACCCCAAAAGCCTCCAGAATCCTAGCCGCTGGTCCCAGGATGTAGGTATCGTCTGCATAGCTCAAGAAAAGTAGGTCCCTGAACTCTCTAGTCACCGTCCCCAGCACCTGCTGCTGCGTGAAAGCGAAAAGAAAAGGGCCGAGCGGGTCCCCCTGTCGCGATCCTCGTGCCGACTCAAGACTCTGTACGAAAGGGCCCGCTCGGAGGTACAGGTCGCTAGGTGTCCCATAGAAGACACGCAAGAATGGGATCATTCCTGAGAAAGGCGACTCCTTCAGCCCCTCGAACATCGCGTGGCGATGAAACGAATTGAAGGCGTTCGCGACATCTATCTGCAGCGCACACCAGTCGGGGTGAGTGGCCAGCGCTGACCGGAAAGAATGAGTAAGAATCTCCACCCCGGCCCTGGTGCCCACTCCCAGCTGGTTACACGGCAGAAAATAAGAAGCCATCACAGGGCGAAGCGAGATGCAGAGAGCTCGAGCGAGGATACGCGGAAGCACCTCCCCGATCGCCACCGGCCGGACGTCACCGTTGGGTTTGGAAAGCCCGACTAGGTTGGATGCGGCGAGCCAGGGCCGAGCTCGCTCGGGGACCTGTCCCGCCACCCATTGGTTGAACACTTCCAGCAGGTGGGAGAGGCAGGAAGGTTCCGTGAGGAAAGTGTCGCGCAGATGCTCTGTGACCCATCCCGATGGCCCTGCAGCTGAGGCGCGAGCAGCTGTGTGGATAGCTCTAGCCAGAATGTCGGTCGTGAGTGGAGGCCGCTGAGGAGCGTCGACAGTAAACTCACGAACCCACGGTGGTACCTCGCCACTGCTAGCTGGGTGCTTCCCTCGCAGCGACTGCACCATAGCCTCAGACGGTCGAGCCAACTCTCCTGCTGTGAGGCAAGACAAACCACGGCTCCACTCTCCCACTTTACACCGAGATCGGCACCGTGACAGGCGGATGGCCTCCGGGTCCTGGTCAGAGCACGTGTAGGCAAGTGGGCGAACTGCTGGCCGTGCCGCCGCCATGGCAGCGTCGAACAACTCCCGCCACCTCCCCTCCCAGAAGGCCCCCAGCCGCTCTATGATCAGCGCCTTCTGACCTATGCCTGGCTTGGGAGGCACGGCTAGGATGAGGCGCGGAAACGCCAGGAGTAGGAGGGTAGCAGCTTCATCTCCCGGTCGGCTCTTCAGCCGCTTCAAGATGCAACAGAGTGCGTCTAAGACCCCGGACCGGGCCCGCTGCGGGATCCGGCGCACTGTCCTCCCTCCAACCGCCTCCACACAGAAAAATGCCTCCCACTCCCATGACTTAACCCCTGCCCACGCCTCGTCCCCAAATTCCCGCGGCGTCGGTCGCTCCTGTGTGTCGGTCTCCACCAGAGACGGGATCAACAATGTGCAACAATGTTTACATTGCATATACATTGATATAATTCTGATGTTGTACTAGACATAGACCTCAAGCTTCAGGATCAACATCTCGTCACTGAATTTGCAATCAGAAATAAGCTATAACGTGCCTGACCCACCACCTAACCTGAAGTAACTTATCTAATTCAAGTTTGAGAGAAAGTTGTTTGAGAACCACATCTTGCAAAAAAATCAGATTCAACCAGTAAGCAACACAACACACCTAGACGGATCCCACAACACACTAAGACGGATCCCACACCACAACTGTGCAAATTCAGTATGGTGTCACCAACAGACCAAATCTAACAAAGATCACACTCTACTACTCAGCCTCAATGTCAATGATACGGATATTGTCATCGCGGGATGCTCTACCCCCCTTGCTAGCCTGTCCATTGATATTGGGGTTCCACACAACACCTCTGCAGCGCTGGCATGCAAGCACTTGTGCACGTGGACCCACAAAACGTTGGCCGCATGAAGGGCAGACACCCTGAAGCACACAAGAGGGAATATGCAGGGAACAGCAGAGTGCATGGGTAAAAGTTGCAACAATTGCATTGCCTGAACGTAAAGGATAAGAAGTGTAAAGGCCTGAACGTACCTCGACAATTGCATTGCCCGCCATGCTTCGGACAATCCATGGAAGCAAAGGGATGAGCCAGAGGGACCAGAAGAACAGTTGAAAGAGCCACCCAGATAACAGCAGCCAGCAGAAGGCACCAAACTGCGAGTACACAGACAACCCAAATGAGCTTACCAAAGCGTACAAAAGAGTCAGGAAAGCTAAACCATGCCGTCAAATGGCGTTATAACTCCGGTGATGTCGGAAAATAACCGGAAAATATAAGTGAATAATCCAGATGCAAGAATGGAGCCGGCGGGGGGTTTTGTGAAACTTACGAAGACTGCCTGTCCAAGTGGCGTTTCCCTAAACTCGTTGATTTGGCGCTCGTACTGCCAGAAATAGCGATGGATGATAACAAGAAGGGCAAAAACGGGAAAGCTAACAATATTATTTCCTGCATGCATTCCTGATATTTCTGAAAGTTAGAACGGAAACACCAGACATATGATCGTTCTTCTCATGCCATACACGAACAGACGTTCCCACCAAACGGACCTTTACACTCGCATCCACGCACTCACCCTACGCAACCGTAAATCTTACGCCAAGTGTATATCTTCTATGTGACATTTTACCCCCACACCACTTCCTCATCACTTCACCTTTGGCCACTTCTGCTTCAAGTCTTGAGAAACTGCACGAAACCTCTGTCGTACACGAAGCTTCTCGTCCACTTCCCGAAGCTGATTCGCCGCGCCTCCAAGCACCTCATTCGCCTTCTCCTTCACGCCGTATCGCCTGTCGATGTTGGTCGCATACCTCTCCGCCTCGAAGGATAACTCTTCCAAACGACTAGCAGCGCTCTTAGCAGCTTTCTTGATTTTTTTCTCCAGATCGTTCTCACGAGCAAAGCTCTCGACCTTTGATTTTGCCTCCTTCGCCTTCTTCTGAGCAGCTTCAGACAGGTCTCGGAAGAATCTCTCCGGCTCTGACGCTGACTGGACAAGCAGCGGCTTCCAGCATCTGCTGCTTGCACCTGTACCCCGGACGTTGTGAGAAAGAACTTTCACGCCGAAGCAAGAGCTTGAAAGGAACGAAACGGTTTGTCGGGAAACGCTGCGAGCTTCGAAAGATCTGGCTTTGGGATCCGATTGGAGAGCTAGTGTGGTGCAGGGAACTCTAGCACTAGTTACTGACGTCATGATTACTACGGTAAAAATGTCGATTTCCTGTAGTAAAGTGGAGTTCCACAAAGAAAACAGGCAAAATCTCCACACTTAATACGGATTAAAAACAGGCCAGAAGCCTAAATCTCACTACTTTGTGTAAGGGCTCGAACAGATTATCTGGTACGCTCACGTACTCGCAAGGATGTCTCAGATGGAAGGTGATGTGCTTCAGAAATCACACGCATAAATAAGAAATACACAAAACCGTCCAGGCTTGCTTGGCACACACGCTGCTTGCTATTTGCTTGCTTGCTGTTTGCCTGGCATCACCAGGGAGAAAGATCTGCATGGAGGGCCTGGCTGGTTCTGGCTGGAAAATCCCGTCAGCGACACAGGGGCAGGATGCAGAGGCATCCAGGGGCAGATTCAAAGGGACCACCCGGTGGTAGTTTACCAAGGACCATTCGACACGTGGTGCGGGCAGAAAGGTCGAATGAAGGCTGCTAGAAGTTACCCTGTGGGTTCGCTGCTTCAGAAATTCGGGCAGTGTGAGAGATGAATTTCTGGGACAACGACGACAGCATCAAGTCTGCACGCAAGGGATGGATGAATCGGAGGGAACCAATTGGGTTGCTTGAAGTTTGCGAAAGACGAATGCACGGGCATTGGTTGACGATCGCTTGGCTTTGACTGGATCGCGGAGCTCAGGTACAGTCGTGGAGGCGATTCATCCAATATTATGGGAGTCTCGCGAATCAGATGAAAGCGCTCAGCAGCGCTGCCAGTGAGGTGAGGAAAACAAACATCTAACAAACCAGCCCTCCTCCCGATTGGACCACGTCATAACATCTCACAAGTTCGGTCCCACAAAGCAAAGTGGTACAAGTTCGCGAGTTTGTATTGAACGGGATCGAAAACATAATGAATAGTTGCCTTAAACTAATGAGTAAGGAAAACTACGCGACGGGCTGACACCTGTCGCTGCGCTCCTGCGCTCTAAATTTATGGAGGGTAAAAGGCCAGCCAGGAGTTGACGCTGCCTACTTCCGCAGAACTCTCCTGTGCGGGCCTCCCAACCCCGTGGGTAAACCACGAACAAACTCGAAAATGTAAAGGGATACGGTAAGGTACCCAGCCCGATATCTAAGAAGATACACTGGGGTAGTGTATTAGTAAACCTCCAAGTTACTACTATACTGTTCTAACAAAAAATGCATGGCCTGCTAATGACCTCTAATAAACCTATTCGCATGCACTCTTCGATATCGCATGCATACTAATTTATCCCATGGTTCCTTGCTACATCCCACCTGCACTCTCACCTCCCAGCGATCTTACCCCCTAGCAGAGCCTGCTGCACAGCATCTAACACACGCTTTGACCGCCGACATGAGCCTGACAGATCGTCCACAGCTGGCAACACGTGATTGGTGGCATCGCGAGGCGTCGACGCATTGCCAGCCGCTGCAATCGCCTGCAGCAGAGCCATCCTCTCAGCGTGCGAGGCAGCAGCAGCAGGGATGGCATCGAGAATGGCTTGCAGCCATTGCAAGACATTTCCCCCACAACACACTTGCAATGCCACCAGGAGATCAACCACCTGCGAACAAACAAAAAAAAGGGGGGCGGGGGGGGGGGGGGGGGGGGGGGGGGGGGGGGGCTGCACTTGGAGCTGCTGGGCTTACTCCTCACCATAGAGTTTTGAGACCTCTCAGGGGTTACGGTGTTTCCAAAGCACTGTTCCCTCATGCACCTCACCATCGCAGGCCTCAGGCAACCTGCCGGTGGCAGCAGTGGGCAGCAGGCAGCAGAGCATGGGACCTTGAGAGGCCTAGAAATCAAGTATTGGGATGCTTAAAAATTCACCATTCCCCCACGCACCTCATCATTGCGAGACTGAAGCAGCACATCAATGGCAGCGGCGAGCAGCAGCATTGGAAGCCATAAGATATGAACAACACCCATCCTACTCCTACTTACTCACCTCATCATTGCGAGACTCGGGCAGTCCGCCTGTGGCAGCGGCGAGCAGCAGGCGGCAGAGAGTAGGACCTCGAGGGGTCTTAGAAATCAAGTGTAGAGATGAGATTCACCATTCCCCCACGCACCTCATCATTGCGAGACTCGGGCAGTCCGCCCGTGGCAGCGGCGAGCAGCAGGCGGCAGAGCGTGGGGCCGCGGGGGCCCACAGCGGCCTCTATGGTGGCGCGGAAGGGCCGACCACGCTCCGAGAAGGGGAAGTCTAGCACGTCCTTGAGGAAGCTCAGCACTGACTTGCACGCCTCCCTGGGGGGGAACGGAAGACGGGGAGGGGGGACATGAGGAGAGTTTGGGCTGGGGCTTGGAAAGAAAGTAGGGAGAGAAGCGCTGTGGAAGAGGGAAGTTGAGCACGTCCTTGAGGAAGCTCAGCACTGACTTGCACGCCTCCCTGGGGGGGATGGGGGAGACGGGAAGGTGAAATCACGAAGAGGGCGCGTGAGAATGCAGTAGCCGTCCCCCCCATGGTCGTCCCTTCCACGCCACCATAAAACGCAGTGGCTGGGCCAAGTGTAGTAGCTGGGAAGGTGGGCTCTGACAAGGGGAAGTCGAGCACGTCCTTGAGAAGTATAGTAGCTGAGAAAGCTCAGCACTGACTTGCACGCCTCCCTGGGGGTGATAGGGGAAGGGGGAGGTGAGATGAGGAGGAGTGTGAGAGAATACGGCGAGGAAGGCTGGCGTGGGCATGCATCAACGTTCCGAATGTCTTGAGAGTGACCAGACAGTGACTGACCTAACTGCACCTGTGCTGCACGAGCAGGCTGGTGAGGAATGCGCAGCCTGCAAGGGCACTGTCGAGCACGGCGAGGAAGGCTGGCGTGGGCACAACAGATAACGTTCAGACGGCTTGAGAATGACCAGAGACTGGATGAGGGTAAAACCACACCTGTGCTGCACAAGAAGGCCTGCAAGGGCGCTGTCGAGCACAGCGAGGAAGGCTGGCGTGGGCACGAATAGATGCCCGCAGTACCGCATGCAGCGCGACGCTAGAAGGAAGCAGTCGTCTGCCACGTCCGGTTTCAAGGTGAAGTCCTGCGATGGCACGGTCAGCGTGAAAGGCAGCTTGGAAGTAAACATGCATGTGAGAGATTGCGGGGAGCAGTGATCATAGAGTAGGTGGTACTTGAAAAATATGCCACCCTATAAGCAATTGAGAGCAGTAGCCCGTGGCATCTAGCCTCGAAACAATTCCAGGGGAAGCTGGAAAGGGACACTTGTTTGAACACGGAACAAGGTCGAAACTCGCACCTGTGTTGTGTGCAGTACCTAGCTCGAGAAGTCGCAGCTCGAAGCACACCAACAAGTTTCACCCGGCATGACTTTTATCGGGGACTCGGGTTTTGAGGCGCCACGGAAAGTGACTCACGTCAAGGGATTGCAGGGAGGCGGTGGTGCGGGCAAAGAGCACTGCGATGAGCTGCTGCAGGTATGCTGCACAGTTGACGTCTGAGCCAAACACCTGATGGATGGAGAGGTGGACGGATGGACGGGTGGACGGGTGGAGGGGTGGATGGGCGGATGGGTGGACGGGGGGGGGATTTTTTAGGCACCTCAAGAAGAGCAATGACGTCCGAACCAAACAACTGATGGGTGGAGAGTTTGAGAGGTGGAGGGGTGAATGGGTGGACGGGTGGACGGGCGGGCGGGCGGACGGGGGAGGGAGAGGAAGGAGGTTTAAGGAGAAAGAAATGAAAGGCAATGATTGGAGGCACACAGTGGGCAAGGGGGTCTCGTGCAGTACTTGCATTGCATGGACAGTGCATAGGGGCTTCTCTTCACCCGACATCAGATCCACTGCGTTGCATGGGAGTCAAATGGCTTGTGAGGCGCCTCAAAAGGGAGTCGATGGCTTGCACTCCGTTGCACTTTGGACCTACCGGCCTCTTTTTTTTTTTTTTTTTTGTGTCCCACTCGGAAGGCAAATCAGAAAGGAGTTTCGCAAGCTAAATAAAGGCGAGTTGTAAGCTGCAAGAGCATACCTTGATGATTTCACTGGCCACGTATAGCAGGCATGGTTGTTGGTGCTGCTCGTATTGCACTTGTAGCTCCTGCAAGAGAGGCGCTAGTACTGGCGCCATGGCTGTTTTCCCTCCCCGGATCTGCACACACACAAGCATGCAGAGATGCAGACGTGCACACATGCACGCATGCACAGATGTACATGAGCGTGCATGCAATACATGCATACACGTGCACATGCGCGTAATTTATGCATGCACACATGCAGACATGCATGGAGGAAAGAAGAACGCAACCCCAATTGGCACGCGCTAATTGCAATACAAGCAAGCACCGATTCACGCAGAGACACGGAGATACTCATTTTGATAAGATGATTGACACTAGGAACAAGGACAGGGAGAGTGAGAAGAAGGGTGGTAGAGGTGGTTTCGAATGAAGCAGCACACATCTGCAAACACCTACACGCCCATTCTCAACATACATACACCCACACCCACACTCACAAAAAAGCCCTCAACCTACCCGTCCACCCCTCCCCTTCGCCCCTCCCCAGGCACACGCACCGCGTATTTGCATGCTCGACATAGCCTTTCCATAACTCGCATGTCCGTGGGCTTTCTGAACGCACACACACAGGGTCACGCACACACATCCACACACACACACACACATGCACCCCAGTGGAGGTAACACAGAGGGAGAACTCGCAACAGAGAATTTGTATCACACAGCAGCTAACAGAAAGTGCAAGAGAGAGAGATTGAGAGTGAGTGAGGGGCATAAAGGCTTACTGCGCAAACACGGCCAGGAAGAGAGAGAGATTGAGAGTGAGAGAGTGAGTGAGGGGAAGGAATGCTTACTGAGCAAACACAGCCTGGAAGAGAGGCCATAGCTGTTGAAAGGCGTCTGCTAACGGCTGGTTCTGACTGACGTATCTGCAGAGTAGAGGGCAGGCGAGGGAAGGGGGTGGTGGGACGAAGAGAGAGGATATGATGTACCATTTGCATGTAACTATGGCCAATATGATACAAAGGACCGTTTGAGAGAGCAGAGGGGATTGAAAGCAAGAGGTGCTGGAGAACAGGAAAGGTTGACACAGTAGGAGAGGAGAGCACAAGCGCACAGCACGGCAAGGGATGGGAGCACCAGTTTATTCACACGAGCACATAAAACCAATGGCAATGGCGATGGCAATTGCAATGGTCGCACCGGCACTGACCTGAATATGTTGGCGATTCTGTCTATATGCACCACGTATTGCGCTGCTGGCATAGATGCCGGCCCTCCTGGTGCCTGCGCTGCTGCTGTCACCACTTGCTGCCAGACGTAGAGAGCAGAGAGCAGAGAGTAGAGAGCAGAGCACAGAAAAGGGATGGAGTTCAGAGAAGGGATGGAGCATTCGTGGGGTGCGGGGTGTGGCATGACAAAACGAAGAACCTGCCCTTCACAGACGTCCCTCCCTCCCATGTACTGCATGGGTCAATCAGATATATGTGCCGCTCGCAGACGACACCAAGGGAGAGGCACGGAACGAGTAGCCTCCCTCCCACCATCAACCTTCTGTGCGTATTTAGGTACGGCATTAAAAATATAAAGTGCAGCTTGTGGATGCTTCTGCATGGTTGTGCGGGTCTCTCTGTCCGTGACGAGGGGTGCAAGACACACATACGCACCTGCAGCGTTGCAGTGAGAGGCTGCAAGAGCGCGGAGACTGCCTTGGGGCACTGATCTGGTGGTAGCACACTCACCACCACACTGCAAGATGGGGAAAAGTTTATTGCCAAGATTGGGGGAGTTTGGGGGAATATGGGAATTGGTCTGGGAATATTTTGATGATGGTGGGGACAAAGTGGTAATGAAAATGAAGCGAGCATGGAGGGGATCAAGTGACAAATGCAGAGAGGAACAAAGGCGGAGAAGTGGAGAAGGCAGATAGGAAGAGAGGCAGAGCATGCGTGCCTGAGTGCTTCCACGATTTGGAGTTCGTCCTCTGGCTGCAGTGCAAGTGCAGCATCCGACACCATCACTCGATTGTACAGCTGCAGCAACGGCTCGATCGACGACAGCAGGTGCTGCCGCGACGCTGCGATGAAGCAAGACAGTGACGAGGGAGTGAGGTGGTTGGAAGGGGCAAGGGGCGGGGAGAGAAGAGGGAGGAAGCAGACGAGGTGGAAAACGGGGATCAAGGCTCGGTTGATTGTACGACCAATCTGCAGCAGGGGATGAATCGATGACAGCAGGCACTGCTGCATCGCTGCGACAAAACAAAAAAACGAGATGGGAATTTATAGGTAATTGGAAGGGGCCGGGGCTGGTGGGGTCAATGGGGGGTGATGGGCTCAAACCACTCAGCACGCCCACCCACAGAATGAGACTCACCATCGCAGATGTGTTTCAGTGCGAGGGCAGCAGCAGGAGCGGCGTCCTCGCCCGCTCCCAGCGCGTTGGTGAGGAGACTGAGCAGCGGAGGCAGCATGGCGGGCGCGTTGGGAGCAGCTGCTATCCAGTCACAGTAGGCCGCTATGGTCAGCGATGCTGGAGAGGCGTTAGGGGGAATGTGATGGGTTGAGAGGTGGTGAGAGGGGTCAGAGACGGTGAGAGGCGATGACAGGGAATCAGAGGGGGTGAAAGGGGTGAAAGGGGGTGGAAGGAGGTCGAAGGAAATGATCATGGAAAGTGGATGTCACACAATGAAAATCAATGGCATGGCACATGATGGGGGCCGAGTTGCTATGCCCATGGCATGGGGCAGGTGTTATGTGCATGCGGCATGTGAACATGCATAGGGAAGCTGTGGTATGCACATGGGACAAGTGGCAAGTTTGCTCACCCGTGTATAGCAGCTGAGGGTGAGGGGGCAGCATGGGTAGCAGCGCCATGAGCTGCCAAGCACAGTGGGCAGTGGGAATGGAGAGCGCATGGGAGGGGGCGCAGGCGGGGAGAGGGAGGGGAGGAGGAGGGAACAAGAACGAAGGTAGGGAAGTTGGAGATGCAAGGCGGTGGATCTAATCTGTATTTAACATGCCATGGATTATCCACGGGTCGTGGGTGGTCGATCGGTTAACATGCCTCGCATCATCTCTCAGTTACTCGACCCACGAGCAAAATCTGAGAGAAGGGAAGAGTAGACCACGTTAAAAATGGTTTCCCCGTGCAGGAGGTGCAACTGGTTAACAATCCGTTCGGTATCCGTTTTCTAAGCCGTCTCAGAAAGCGCTGGGAAACTCCTCAAGAGTCAACTCACGCAGGAAAGCTGTGAGGAGGGAGGGCGGAGTGGACCTGGGGAGAGGCGCACCTGCTGAGTGGCGGACCTGGGGGGGAGCGCACCTGAAGAGGGGCGGACCTGAAGAGCGGCGCACCTGGGGGGGGGGGGCGCACCTGGGAAGGGGCGTACCTGGGGAGGGGCGTACCTGGGGAGGGGCGTACCTGGGGAGGGGCGCACCTGGGGAGGGGCGCACCTTTGGAGGGGCGCACCTGGGGTAGGATGGTTTGCTCGCGCAGGAGGTGCGAGCCTGCAATGGCTCTGATGCAGTACAACGATGCCTCCAAGGCCCTCCAGTCGTACTCCTGCCCCCTTGCTGCTCCCTCCGCTATCTGATGCCCCTCACAACACGTACAACCACCCATGCCCATGCCCATGCCCATGCACATACCCATGCCCAAGCCCATTCCCATGTTACGTCAATACACATGAAACAGAGCGGAAAAAGAAGAAGAGGCTTGAGGTATTAAAAGGCTCATGGCCTGAGCCAGAAGTTACAGCTTACCAGCTATGATACTGAGCTTGACCTACCACCATGCACGAAACACTCGGAAACAACAGAAGATAGAGTCAGAACACAAGAGAAGCAATACGTGCACTGCAGAGGGGGCACCTGGAAGAGAGGTTGAGCGAGCAGCTGTAGCAATCTCTCCCCCCCGAGCACGTACAGAACATCTGTCAACACGTCCGCCACAGCTGCATGGACGATGCGGGCGAGGAGGGGTAAAAACAACAGAAGAGAGAGAGTGGTAAAAACAACAGTCTTGTAGAACTGCACGTTGGGATATGGTATATGAAAATCCTGTGCTGCATTGCACTGCACAAATTGGATGCACTGCACAGTGTTGCACTGAACTGTACCACACACCGTACTGCACCGTTACGCACCTCACTGCACCGCACTGCACTGACCGTAGCGTGTTTGCTTGAAGTCTGCCTTCTCGTCACTGCGCCAGTTCTCGTGGCCAGGGGGGTATCGCACTCTGAAGCTCACCTGGAGAATGGGGGGGAGGGAGGAGCGGAGGATTGGATGAATGAACGAATGATGGGTCATGGATGGATGAGTGCATGCGGGGACAGATGTTGCTCTAAGGCGCCATGCAGCATAGCAGCACAACAGCACAGCAGCACAACAGCAGCACAGAAGCAACAACAGCACACCAGCACAGCAGGACGCACCAGTGATACAAGGTGTTCAAAGATGGGCTTGAAGAGAGCGAGCCGTCTCTCCCTCTCTGCATGCGCTGCTGCATCCGACGCCACGTTCTCCTCATGCCGCGGCCTGCCATGCCACGCGCAAGAGAATGGGGTAAGCACAGAATAGGCAGCAGCAGAGGATAGACATGAAGTGCCTCAAAGCTGCATCCGACACCATGTTCTCCTCATGCCACGTCCTGCCATGCAATGCGCCATGAGCAACGAGATCTGAGCAGCGGCGGGGGATAGACATGAGGTGCGTCAGTGGTGCATTTAATGCCACGTTCTCCTCATGCCGCAGCCTGCCATGCCAAGTGCGGCACGGCAGGATCAGCACAGGGCACAGGTGGCGACGAGAGTCATGGAGAAACACTAAAGAGATGGAATCTTTGAGGCGCCCTGAAGCTGCATCAATGTGGTGCAGCGAGTAGTGATGATGGCAAGGCCCATGGTGGTGATGGCAGGATGGCAGGGTGGCGGGATGGCTGGACGGCGGGATGGCTAAAAATAGTGCAGTTTGGAGTGGTATCTACCGTGTGGTGAGGTGTGAGCCGAGCGCGTGCCAGAAGTTGAACGTGGTGGATGCGATGTCAAAGTCCGGGTGCGATGCCACTTGGACCAGCGTCTCTCTGCTATTTTCGAGGTGCCTGGAAAAAAAACAGCTACCCCACAACAAAAGGCCGCGGGTGAGGTACCTACCGTGTGGTGAGGTGAGAGCCGAGCGCATGCCAGAAGTTGAAGGTGGTGGATGCGATGTCAAAGTCTGGGTGCGATGTCACTTGCACCAGCGCCTCTGCTATCATCATCGACTCAGGGGACCCTGATGGTTGTGCCACGGCCACCACACACACGCGCACACACAGTGCAGGGATGCCAAGGGAGAAGAGAAAAGGGGAGTAGTAGATTGTGGGGAGAAAGATAGGTAAATTCCCCTTTCCCCTAAATTCCGTGTCTGTACCTTACACACTAAAACCGAACCCCAGGGCTGGCAGGATTCGGAGCCTAATCCTGCCTCCTGCGTTCTGCCAAGGCTCTCTCACTCACTCAATTGCACTGCCAACGAGCCCTGTTCTCACCGCTGGCAACGAGATAACGCCTCGCCAATTTCTGCGAACAGTCGAGCTCCTAGAGGCGCCTCAACAAAACTCTATTCTAGAAAAGACACCCTTAATATCTCCCTCTCTCACCGCTGGCAATGAGGTCCACATATGCCTCGCCGATTTCCGCGAACAGTCGAGCCATGGCCTTCATTGTGTCCTCATCCTGGGAATGGATGAGGGGAGTGTTACAGTGGTGTGGGTGCGGTTGTGTGTGTGTGTGTGTGTGTATGTGTGTGTGTGTGTGTGTGTATGTGTATGTGCGTGTGCACACATGTGTCTGCATGTGTGTATGTCCATGCACGCGGGCATGTGTCCACGCCCTATGCTCTCTTCTCTAGAGCATCAACCGCCCACTCCTTCACCTCCACCTTCTTACCCAGCCCTACTTCCCCCCTTCCCCCTTCCTTGCTTTCTCCCCTTCCAACGCATCCCAGGCTATCCAACGCCCCACCCTCCTCACCGCCTCCGGCTCTGCATCTGCATCTGCATCTGGCGGCCCCTCCTGATGCGCCTGCACCGCTTTGAGCACTCGTCACTCCACTCGCTTTATGCAAAAAACACCTTCTATCCCCAGCCTAGCCCAGCCCAGGCCCCCCCACTCACCTCCTCTGGCTCCGCATCAGTCTGTCCCTGCTGATGCGCCTGCACCACTTTGAGAGCGGCAGAGAACCGGGGCAGCAGTGCCATGATGCGCGGCACTATCAGCTGCACCAGCGGCATGTTGGCTGCCAATGCTGCTGGGCCACCGGAGACTGAGAACCGGATCAACTCACACACGGCTGGGGGGTTGGGGAAGAGGGGCCGGTGGGGGAGGGCCGGTGGGGAAAGAAAGAAGCTTCAGCACACTAGAAAAGGAATAAGGAGGAGAAGGAACTGTTTGGGGGGTGTACTACGTCTCAAAACAGTGTACACACAGACAATGAAATGCACAGTCACTTAGGCACTCGGTAAGAATGAATGCGCAGTCCTGCCTTACCTTCAACAGACGGCTCAAACATGTCTGCAGATTGCAAGCCCTCAAAGGAAACAGGCAGAAGCGGATGGGCGATGAGAGTGGCCTTTTGAGTCGACTCAAAAGTCAACAATCAGTCCTGCCCCTTCTTACCTTCAACTGATGGCTCAAACATGTCTGCAGATTGCAAGCCCTCAAAGGAAACAGGCAGAAGCGGATGGGCGATGAGAGTGGCCTTTTGAGTCGACTCAAAAGTCAACAATCAGTCCTGCCCCTTCTTACCTTCAACTGATGGCTCAAACATGTCTGCAGATTGCAAGCCCTCAAAGGAAACAGGCAGAAGCGGATGGGCGATGAGAGTGGCCTTTTGAGTCGACTCAAAAGTCAACAATCAGTCCTGCCCCTTCTTACCTTCAACTGATGGCTCAAACATGTCTGCAGATTGCAAGCCCTCAAAGGAAACAGGCAGAAGCGGATGGGCGATGAGAGTGGCCTTTTGAGTCGACTCAAAAGTCAACAAACAGCCCTGTCCCTTCTTACCTTCAACTGATGGCTCAAACATGTCCGCGGATTGCAACCCCTCCAGGGCGACAGGTACAAGCGGATGGGCCATGAGAGTTGCAGCGGAAAGACTGAGGGACGTGGGAGAGAGGGCGTGCAGGGTAGGGTTTGGGGGGGTGTGGAGGGGTGTGGTGGGGTGTGGAAGGGTGTGGAGGGGTGTGGAGGGGTGTTGCGGGGTTAGAGACTGAAATGTGAAGAGCCGGATTGCTGTGTTAAAATAGCTGTTGTGGCAGCTGCAGGAGAGAATGACTGGATATCAAAGGGGAAGCGGCAAGGTAAGTTTCTGGGTGAAGTGGGAGCAGAAAATGCTGGCAAACGCAGTGGGCATGGCAAACAGATCAGGAAAGCCAAAGCGCCAAAGAGCTTGGGATGCCATGGCCGGGAGATAGGGTGAGGGAGGGACGGAGATGACGACTTGGGAGAATGACAGGTAAATTACACGAAGAGCCATGGCTGGCATGAGAAGAAGGGCGAAAGGCAGGACAGAGCAGGGTACGTCAAGGCAGGGAAGGATAGGGGTGGCAGGGACGGAAAGGGGTGGCAGGGAAGGACAGGGGTGGCAGGGAAGGACAGGGGTAGCAGTGGGAGGGAGGGAGGGAGGGTGCTTGAGCACACTAACCCGTTGCTGAAGCGCAGCCAGGCCGTGAACGCATGTAGTGCCTGGAGAGAGATAACATGCAGGGAATGACAGGGACAATGTTCCAGGGTGTCTTTGAGAGATGATGAGGGGGGGCGAAGAGGACAGGGGACGTGAAGAAACAGCGAGACAGGGGAAAATGGAGGGATACGGTGAAATGGACGGATGGGGAGAAATGGAGGGACGGATGGCGATGTAGGGGTTTGGTCTCGAAACAGTGGAATCAGTTGCAGCAAAAGTGTGCATACAAAGGTGCTGCATGTACGGAAATTCGTCCCGAGTGCCTCTCAGAATGTGCATGAGTGGGAAGGGAAGAAAGCAGGGATGGGGAGAAAAGAACGAGGGGAGGGTGTTAAGTGTATGTGTGGCGGGAGGTAAGTAGAGAGACTGAGGACGAGAGAGCACGCACTGCCTCAGTAGTGGCGGGATCGGAGGGGTGTGCGGCATGGCAGGCAGCGAGGAGGGTGAGGACGTCCGGTGCACACGCCACTAGCTCTGCTGAGAACTGCCTCCTCCTCTCCGGCCGCACAGCTAGCTTGTGTGCTCCCACCTCCTGATAGAGGGGATGGCGGGAGAGAGAGAGGAGAACAAGGAGAGGAGGGGTACAGGGAGATCAGGGAGAGTGGTGAGAGAGGGAGAAAGAGGGTTAACAATGTGAAGGATGAAGAAAGAGAGGACGATGGAGAAGAGCGTTGAGAGGAATGGAGGCGAGGAGAAAGGCAGTAGTGAGAGAGGATCCCAATTAATAGCCCCACTCACCATCGACCCCCAACTCCCTCCCCTCCCCCTCCCCCTCCCCCCTTTGCTATCCGCAACCAGTCAATCCCCATCCCATCCCACATGCCACCCCTTCGCCCTCCACCTCCCCCGTCCTCTTTTCTCTAACCTGCACGACCACGGTCAGTAGTTCCAACAAAGCAGGGGCAGATTCAGGCTGTGCTGCTAGCTGCTGCGGCAGCCAGTACACCACACCTCCCTCCCCCCACTCTCCTGCCGGTGTGTGCGCTGCTAGTGCTGCAATCGCCAGACACAGCTGGGGAAGTGGCCCGGATTTTCAGTTCGTGGAAGGGCAGGGAAAGGAGAGAGCAAGGGCGGGGAGAGGGACCGATTGAGAGGAGCAGGTAAAGTAAACATGGCACATATTGAGTGAGGAAGCTGTAGACATTAGCTGCAAAAGGCACAGTCCATGGACCACCACCCAGGGCATGGGCCGGGCATAGAACAGGTTTTGAGGGGACATAGAGCGCAGAGCATGCTTCGTTCACAGTGCATTACAGCCATAGGGCAGAAGCCAAGGACGAGAACGAAAGCAGGAAAGTGAGAGAAGGCTATTGTGTGCCCCTGTGAGTGGTTGTGCCTGCCTGTGAGTGCATGTGTGCCCCTGTGCATGCCTGTGTACCCTTGTAAGAGCATTGTGTGTGCGTGAGCGTGCGCTTCAGTGTGTGTGCGCGCTTCACTATGTGTTAGTACAAGGCACGGTAGCAGATACCTGAGTGCGCACTGCAGCTGGTCCGTTTCTGAACTTGGCGAGCAGCCCCTGCAGTAATGGAGGAGACGGGCAGCAGGGTTACCCGAGAGAGGGCGAGGGAAGAAAGAGGGTGGGGAGTGGCTGAGAAAAAGCACAGCGAGTTATAACGTGTGTGTGGAGGCGGGGGGAAGGGGGGAAAGGAAGGGGAAAGGGGAGATGAAAGACTCTCAGCATGTGTTGCGATTGTGACTTGAGGAAGCCAAGCGAGAGCACATTAGCAGGGATACGGGACAAGATGGTCAGGAGGCAGAACAAGAGGGCCAGGTAACCGGCAGGGGAAAGACTGCGATGGAACGTCCACCAAAGGAGGAACAAACTAGCGGAGACGCGAGGGCAAGAGCGTACAAGGAGCGATGCACGCAGGGAAGGCGTGGAACCCTGGGGTAGCTCTTCAAAGTCCCTTTGAACCTGTCACACGGAAGCAGTGGAAAGAGATGAGCGACTTATGAGGCGCCTCAGACTTAGAAAGAGCCAGGATCGCCAGAGGGGAAGGAAGGAGGGCGAGTCCAAGAGACAAGGCGCAGAGGTTGCTGACTTGGCACTGAACAAAAAGGCAACTGACATTGGGGCGCTACAGGCAAGTCAACTTGGGCCTCACCTTGGTTCGCAGAGTCTGTGCGCAGAAGTACCTGACCTCCATGCTGCTGCTCTCATCGTGCAGTAGCCGATCTGATATCTGCGCAGCGTTGGGCGCAGGAAGAGAAGCCGTTGCGGGAGAAAGGGGGGGTGTTGGAGGCGGGGGAGAAGGTGGAGGGAGGAGTGGCAGGAGAGGGCGAAAGGGGAAGAAGGGCGCGGAGAGGGCGGGAGGAGGAGATGTGGAGAGGAAAGCAGGAAAGAAGGGGAGAGATCAAGAGGGGGGGAGGGGAAGAGAGGAAGAGGAGGTGAAGGGGAAAGGGTGAGCGGGAAAGAAGGGAAGAGAGAAGAGGGAAGAGAGAAGAGGGGGAGGCAATGGAAGTAGGAGGTGCAAGAAAGAGGAGTGGAAGAACGGAAGGGTGGAAACTCGATGCAACAAGTGCACACCAGTGGTTGTATGCGGCAAAATGGAATAAGGGAATGGAGAATTGACGAGGCGCTTTCCCCACTCCCCCCGCTCCCTCGCTGCCCCCACCCTCCCCACTTGTCAAGCCTCCATGCTCTGCTGCAATGCCTGTAGGAGAAATCCTGTGCATGATAACAAATTCCCCACTACCTCCCTTCCGCACTCCCCCACCCACCGCTCCCTCGCTGCTCCCACTCTCACCTGCCAAGCGTCCATGCTCTGCTGAAACGCTTCGAGCCATTTGCTGGCCTCTCGCCGCGTGGATCGGTCCGTCGTCTGGTATAAGGCTTCCAGCACTCGCAGCAGCGTCGCTGTCGTGTCGCCGGCCGCCTCAGGAGCCGCCATCTCTCAACGGATGCGACGGGAATGCGACGCAATGCGACGGACTGTGACGGAACGCGGCGGAAAGCGACGGAAGGTGAGAAGGTGGCGACCGGTGGTGATGCGACGAGCAGGGACGACGGCAAGCGACGAGTAACCGACGAGATATGTGATATGCCTCTGGGTCAAACTATTTCTCCGCCAAAAATACGGCAAACGCTGGCGCTTCAACAATGCCTTTGAAGGCTTGCGAGTGGTGCTAACGCGATTGCTCTACCCGCCGGCTGCTGCTCCTGCCGCTGGTGATGCTACGGTTGCTACTTCCGCTGACAATGTTGGTGACGTGTCCGGTGTTTCCCTTGTTCTCTGACGCTTCTCGAGCTGAAAGGCAAGCTTGGAAACGTACCCTGGCTAAAAGAACACCGGATTCCGGGGTTACTTAATACCCTTGGCCAACACGTGGCCAAATTGCTGATCTAGACTGGCTAAATCAATGGATTCGAATCGGGTTCCTACCAGCCAGCCTGTAAGAAGCTAGCTATTTTGGTAAAAAAACGGAACTACGACAATATTTCTCTCGGGGAACGTCAAGAATGAAAAGGTTCCAGCACCAGAGAGTACAAATGGCGCAGTGTTGACAAGCGGATCGAAACAGGTACAAACGGCAGGAGGAATGGCTCTCAGACCGGTAAAAGGACTGGTTAACGGACTGACAAACGGAGTCGCTAGGGAACCTGCCGGCTACGTAACTCGTGGCGCAATGGACGCGAATCTAAGTTCTCCAGTTCCTCAGCAACGTATGGAAGTGAATCTACGGTCGTAATCAGCAGTAGACCGATATCTTAGCCGTCGAATTCACTCTCACGAGGCTTAGCAACGAGCCTGCACCAATTGGCTTGTGGAAGCGTAACCTTCAGAGGCAGATCAGGAGGATGCGTCTAAGGGGGAAGAATCCCAAACACACATGACGCGCTACGTCTCTTGGGAACACCTAATCCCTATGTGTCATGTTGCCGTGTCGTTGCCCAACGACTTTCGGGACCAGAACCACAAGAGCGGAGGCTGGGAACTGGATGCTGGACATTGATCAGAGCACTGCTGGGAAGGCGGGAGATGAGGTGAGATGGGATGAGATGAGCGGCCAGAAACAGTTCCGGCATGGTGATCATGAGGGACGAGAAAAAAGCCACGGAATTTCCGAAGGTTCGAATGCTGGTGATCTCTAGGAACAGTTTGGAAATAAATAAGTCTCGGATTTCGACCGTCCAGTTATTTGAGTTTTGATTGTGAAAGCAAAAAGGGAGCTACATTCATGCGCGGATTCCGCACGGGTGTCAGAGGCGGTTGCTTGTCAGGCGAGGCAGGGCGCGAACATCATTTTTGGCCGGTGCTCTCCAACCTCCGTTATGGACATGGCATCGACTGGATAAAGTCCTGCATTCGTAGACCAACCTCTCAACAACGTGGATTAGCATTCTGTACAAAGCAGACACCACTGATGTGCGCTGAATACTGGGGTGGACACTCTCGGTCAACCATTTGTAAGATCTGGTGTGAACGCCAGAATGATAATTGCACAGGTAGCTGGAGTTTCTTCCTACATTGAACATGCTTGCATTCCAATTTTACCAATCAACCCTGACCAAGATACATTCGCTTGGCTTCCCATCAAACATGCTTACTTCCTACAGCAGCCACCTTTCCTGCCTAGTTCGTCCCCTTAGTGCCGTCAGCGGCATCACGAGCAGGAGCAATAGCAGCGGACGCGGCTCCACTGCCTGCTTTCCCCATCTCTCTCTTTTCCGCACTGTCATCCTCATCCAACTCAGGCAGAGGAGACAGCGGCTGAGAGGCCCCACCCCCATGCTCCTGCTGCTGCTGCTGCTGCTGCTGCTGCTGCTCCTGCCCCCCCAACAAAGACCCTGTGATGCTATCATCGTCACTAGACCCTACTCCACCTCTAACCCCACCAGCACCCCCAGCAGCCCCACGCCGAGTTTCGCTAGCCGTTTCCCCAAGGGGGAAGTGCGAGGGGAGGGAGTCGGAGTTGCTGAGGCGCTCAAAGGCTAGAGCAGCGGTGCGGCGCAGGCGCGTGGTGTAGAGGAGATAGAGGGCGCCGGCGAGGAGGAGGAGCGAGTAGACAAAGACAGTGATGAAGAGACCGCTCCAAAAGTCCGTCTCTTGAATCATATGGGGTAGCCGGCCTGGGGAGGGAGAGAGCGGGAGGGCGGACCAGAAGAGGGCGAATTTAAGAGAAGCGGACCCAGGGGATGGCGGACCCAGGGGAGAGATGCATCAAGAAAGGATTACAAAAAGGCAAAAAAACGGGGGAGGCAGGAGAGTTGGAAGGGGGGTGTGAGGGAAACTACAGGGGTGTTCAGGAGAAGGTGGTTGGATAGGAAGGGGGAGGCACAACTGGAATCGAAGACATGAAACATTGCTGACCTGTGAAGGTGAGTGGGTTAGGCGTGATGGGGTTTTGGAAATCAATCCATGCGAATGCGAAGTCTGCAGAGCAGGGAGGAAGGTACGTAGGAGGGGTGGGGCAGATGAGACAGGATTGAAAATGCTGGAATGCGGAGGAAGGAATCAATTCTCCACAGAAACAACGAAAGAGGAAGAGTGGAGCAAGCTTGAGAGAAGCAAGCACACACGAGATTCGTGAGACAAGAAGCGGCCCGGGGAGAAGGGCCGGCAAATAGCTGGTTGGGAAGCCAGTGCAGAGTCAGTCATTACGCATGAACACTGTAAAAATCACTGCATCATGCTTCTGCATACCTGTGTCCACAAGGTAGAATTGCTCCTCCTCGTTGCCTTTTGAACCACCTAAAACATCGACTCAAAAATCGTCTCTATACCCCTAAAATCACTGCATCATGCTTGCGCATACCTGTGTCCACAAGGTAGAATTGCTCCTGCCCGTTGCCTCCCTTGCGCATGCTCCGTGCCTCCACATAGATGGATCCGTTAGCAGCAATGTCATAGGAGAGGAACGCGTGCTGTGCGTGCTCGTGGTTGGCTGTGTCGTGACTCATCACCTGCAGCAGCAGTGCGCCGTCCCTGGACAGAGGGCAGAAGGGGACGGGAGGAGGGAGTGGCGCAGAGAAGAAAAGCAAGGGGGAATGTGGTGAAGGAGCAGACGAGTCACGAGACGTGCAGCACTCCATCAAGTTACCAACACAAGTTCCTTGATGAGCAAGAACGTTTGATTTTGATGTGCTAAGTGCCAAGAGGCTTGGCAAGGATGCGGGTGGTAAGTAGTTGGATACATCATGGTTCGGCATTGGCAGGAACGGCCCTGAAAATGGAAGGTGACAGGCAGGGTTGGAGTGAAGAAGAAAGACGACAAGAAAAAAGGCGAGAAGAGGAGAGACCAGTAGAGGAGAGAGAAGAGAAGAGAAGAGAAAAGAGGAGAAATCAGTAGAGGAGAGAGAAGAGAAGAGAAGAGAAGGTAAGAGGAGGCCATGCTCTCACTTATGTGTGATGGGTTCTGCATCGGCATAGTGTCGCCCCATCGGTATCACATGCAGCTCGTACCGCCCCGGGCCTAACCGCCAGCTTCGGAACTGTCCCGCGCCTACGATCGGCGTGCCGGACCTGCCCTCTATGTGGGCACCGATGAGACTGGGGAGAGAGATGCAATGGAAGAGGAAAGGAAGGAGGGAGAGGAGGGAGAGGGGGAGGAAGGGAGCGATGGCATGGAATTGGGTTTGGGCTGATGGATGGAAATCACAAAAACAAGCATGGAAACAGGAATGCCACCATGCAATTTGTAAGTCGACTCGGAGCAATACCCCTCTCAACACGCACCCGGCAGCATTGTAAGGGATGTAGACAAATGCAAAGGAGGCCTGAGAAGGTGGGGCTAGATCGTCCGCGCTGTCTGTGCTGTCCTTGCGCACCTGCACCCACCATGCACCACTGGCAGGCAGGGGAGCAAGTGGGAGGGGAAGAGGGGAAGAAGGGCGGGAGTGGTGTGTATGTGCTCATACACCTTAGCTCAGAGAGTAGTGGAAAACGTTACACAAGGAATCATTTTAGCCACCTAGAAAATCATAATAGAAATCTCGTGCAAGGACTTATTCTGGGGCGCCTAAATCAACCTCAGAAGTCTCTTGTAAAAAAACCCCGATAGTAGGCTCACTCTGAGGTGGGATAAGTGCTCATGATGTTGAGGTCATTGTTCTCCGGGCCGGAATAGGAGCTGTAGGGAGGGCATGGCAGAGCGGGCGGGAGGGGGCAAGGTGATAAATGTTAATGGTGGTTTAAGACGTTTCAAAAGCCCACTCTGAGGTGGGATAAGTGCTCATGATGTTGAGGTCATTGTTCTCTGGGCCGGAATAGGAGCTGCAGGGAGGGCATGGCAGGGCGGGCAGGATGTGATAAATGTTCAAGGTGGTTTAAGACGTTTCAAAAGCCCGCTCTGACGTGGGATAAGTGCTCATGATGTTGAGGTCATTGTTTTCAGGGCCGAAACAGGAGCTGCACCAGGGAGGGCATGGCAGGGCGGGCGCAGCCGGAGGAGGCAAGGGGAGACTTGTCAGCAGCGGGAACAGGGATGCAACACAGATAGAGGAAAGAATGAGCCGGGGAAAAAAAGGAGGATGGGCCTGCAAGGGGGACACAACGGAGAGGGAGCAGCAGGAGGCAAGGGGAGACTTGTCAGCAGCGGGAACAGGGATGGACGACACAGATAGAGGAAAGCATGAGCGGGGTGTAAAAAGGAGCAGGGGGCAGGCTGTGTCACTCACTTGAGCAGGAAGAGCATCCCCTGGGATGGGTGTGCGTGTGGCAGGCGCAGAGTGGCGCCCATATGCTGTGCTGCCATGATAGCACCTCGTTGGCATAGGAGACCGAGAACACGGCTCGACGGGAACCCACACTCGGTGAGAGCA